GAGAAGAAGCACTTGTCTCCCAATGCCCCTGCACTCTCCCAATGTGCCCTAGTTGTTGTGAAAGACAACCCTTTATTTCTCATAGGTGCTCGCAATTCCACTTTATCTCCTACCCAATTTCCTCCTGCCTGATTCCACCAACCACGCACCTCTGTTTGATGGGCTGGGCAAGAGCTCGTTGCACAAGCCAAGACCATGCGAGACTTTGATGTGGGGCTCACACGAGGTGCGTGGGGCTCACACGAGGTGCGTGGGGCTGACACGAGGTGCGTAGGGCTCACACGAGGTGCATGGGGCTCATACGAGGTGCATGGGGCTCACACGAGGTGCGTGGGGCTCACACGAGGTGTGTGGGTTGGCCCATGGGCTCAGAGGCCTACAGCAGGCTGGCAGCTATGGGAAAAGCCAAGGCCGTGCACGAGGTGAGTGTGGTGATTTGCAGGGGCAGTAAGGGCAGCAGGAGCAGCAAGGGTAGCATGGGCAACAGGGGTAACATGCACATGTGGTTGGAGTGCAATGGCAGGGCAGTAAAGAGGCTTTGATATGGGGCTCACTCACACTAAGTGTGAACGCCTTTCACTTCGATGGTAGTCCCTCCCTCTCATAGTTTTCCATTCACGGCTTAGGGCGACGTCAGGTTGTACAACACTTTGTACGCTTTCTGCGGTCAACTTCACTACGTCACGGTGCATAATGGTAGAGCTAAAAAACCGCTTCCCACCGTGTGGAACCGTCCTGAGCCACGATACAAGAATTGTGAATGTGGGAGAATTGTACAACCTGACATCGCCCTTACCACTACAACTACCCAATCGGACATCCTCCAACTATTGTTTTCACCCACCCCTTTCATCCATCCAAAAGAGAAGCCTTAAAACCCTTCATGTTTTGTGTCTCTCTCATCCATCCTGCCCATTGAATGTTCCCGTCCCTCGTTGGCTTATGGGTTCCTTCCTGAAGCTGTTCAAGTTCCTTAACACAATCCTATGCTCCCAGTGTCATTCGGCTATCCCTTAGTTGACGCCTACTACAGGGATGCCAGTAGCCGCCGAAGCATCAAGGACGTGCGCTTGCCTCTGCTTTGCGTTTAGGTGAGCTTCTCTCAACCATGATTTTCTCTCTTCTATTTCTCTCTCTCTCTCTCTCGCTCTCTCTCTCTCTCTCTCTCTCTCTCTCTCTCTCTCTCTCTCTCTCTCTCTCTCTCTCTCTCTCTCTTAGAGCACCCTGTTACTCATGTCTAAGCTCTCCATCTTTTATATTTGAAGAACAGTCGTGACAGGGGTAGACTAGCGGTGCTGCTGTACACATTTGCTAAGTTTTTTCCTGGAAGCGCCTCGCATATGCTGCACATGCGATCAAAAAGGGGCTTAAGATCAGTTTATTGTGTCCTTGTTTCCTTCTTGTTTGCTTATTCCTCACCCCTTGCAACCAACCACTTACTTTCTTGTATTCATCCATTGTTGCTGCTTCCAATGCCCCTCTATTCCTTCTTTGCCTTCTCCTCCACCAGGCCTTTGATGATCCCATCGCACATGTAGAAGGAATTCTGTATGAAGCTATCGAGGTACTATGCTGTTTTGCACTTTCACATTCATTGACAAGATTGTTATGGCATGTTACATTTGAGTCGACGGAAAACTTTATCTCTACCTGGCTTTGGATTGTCCCATCTCACTCGCACACGTCATTCCATATGAAGCTATCGAGGTACCGTATTGCATCGCACTATCACGTTCATACCACCTGCAATGGAGTGCGGTTACATGTGGTTGCATGTCATGGCATGTGGTGACCTTGTGCACGTAATTTTGTACAATCAACTTTCTGAATATCAGCCTTGGGTGCTCATGGCATTTGTCGTTACATTGCATTGGTGGCCGTCTGGAGCCATATGTAAGAAGTGAGCTTCTGGGACGTCTCAAAAATGTCGCCTGGTTTCTAAACTCACTTTTTATTGGTGGCTGTTTAGGGCCACGTGTAAAGGGTGAGCTTTTGAAAGGTCTAAAAAATGCTGTCTGGTTTCTGAACTCACTTTTCATTAGTGGCTATCTGGTTTTCAAATGCCTAAAGCTTCTGCTTGTGTCTACACTTCCCTTCTAATCCACTTCCTCTTTCCTCGTTGTTTTCAACAAATTTCCTCCTCATGCTTATCGGCAAATCCCATGGGGGTCCATCTGGTTTGAGTTGAGACGTGCCAAACTTCTGTTCTTATTTGTGATTGCACTCTCATCCACTTCCTCTTTTATCCTGTCTTTCAGAACAACCCTCTCACAATGCTTATCGGCACATTCCACGGAGCGCATCTGGGCTGGGTGTCGGGTCCCGAGGCTCCCTTCGGGGCCCCTTGGCCGGACGTACTCATGATAGAGTTCCTCAAAGGGCTGGAGAAGGGGGCGGTTGAGGATGAAAGCGGGATATTCCCCAGGAGACTGCTTATGAGAAATTGTTTGGACAAGAGGAGGGGTTGGAAGTGGTTGGAGAGGGTTTGATTGATGGTGAGGGTGAACGGGATTGTGGTGCGGGTGGCGAGGGAGGGATCAAGGTACCATGGTAATTATGGATGTTTTGCTGAAATGCGAACATATCATTGAGCTGTAGGCTCAGCGTTATTGACAATTGTACCTCAGATTATTGAGTATCATCTAGGCATTTTCAACTGCGCATCTTAGCGTTCCAATCCAAATGCATGTGCTTTTTTGCATGTCAACCAGCCAGCATGGGTTCATGTTCATGATGAGATTCATTGCAGCCATATGGGAACCGGCCTCTTGATTGGTCTTAAAACCAGATTCTCAAGAAGCCCAAAAGTGCCTCATCCAGGCCCTCAGATTCGTTTTTGGGCTGTCTGATTTGTCAGACTTGGTACACATATTTTGTCTGATCAATCAGACTTGGTACAAAAAAAATGCTGAACTTTCAGAGTGTAATCTTATAAAAGTCTGATTAAGAATGTTCACATAAGTAATAAAGCTGATTGATCAGCCTAAAAAGGGGAGATAATCTCGCCGCAGCGCCGCTGTGATTGTTTCAGCGTGACTGACACCACAAATCTGTACTTCCAGCGCTAATCGCGGCTGTCAGGTCAGGGCAGTACCCGCTAAAACGCTCGTAGAATCAGAGAACACTCCCGGAAAACTCTGAAACTTTAAGAGTTGAGGCCCTAAAAACTCTGAAATTTACAGAGTACACTCAAAAAATATCATGAAATATCAAAGTTTTTCATGCAAATCAGAGAAAAAAGACTGACTTCTGAGGGCCTGGCCTCATCCCTCCAAACCTTGTAACCTAGTGGATGTCATAGTAGATGACAGTTGCAAGCCAATGCGGCTCTTTCCCCAACCAACTTTCCTACCTTCAAAACCTATGGACCTCGGGTTTTAAAGCTCGTGGCCCAAATTGCAAACCACGTGGGGCAAGATTATTACACTTGCCTAGCTGCCGTTTTGTGTGCTGTGGGTTGGAGAATTTGGGGTTACATTATGTACGAATGAGATATGATTGGTCAAGGCCCAACCCACTGCGCAAACTTCAAAAATTAGCATGAAGCCCTGGGGTTTGCTCACTTAGCGTATGTTAGCGAGAGCTTGCGAAATCTTCCAACTTCACCTTTCCAACACCTACTAAATTCAACCGTCAGACTTGTGCAATTTCGGCTGCGAGCTTTAAACCATAGTTTGGAAGGCTGAGCTGCAATATTACTTAACCTTGGATTTCGGCTTGGGGCCGAACCTAGGTAGCACTAATTGGTTCGGTTTGGGCCCAAATCAAGATAAGGATCGCGTAGAGTTACATCTCATATCCATCTTATAATAATAGCAAAACATTCACGCGTATCGGAATTGATTTCTGCCGTTACTCTTTACCAACCGATCCCTCGGTCATGCACTGGCGGAGAATGTGGCGCACGGGATAGTGGGCAGTAGAAATTCCTCAATATGTACCAGAAGCACGGAGGGGAATCACACATGCTGAAATGAAGGCTTGGCAATTTGAAGTCTGTATCATAGTAGAGTACATCATGCGTGCGAGACATTTTGGTGGAGATCCATCTATATGTTCGATATACGTTTCCTCCAAATTCTGGGTCTCCAGAAAAAACAAACCATCTTGGTCATCGAACAAGAAATGTCAGCGAACATGTCAAATGTGTTCCCGAAGACGACAACACATGCTGAACAGTACCGTTTGAGGGCATTTTGGTGGTGGATCTGCCCGTCACCTGCGCCGCACACTGTATTCGTAACAGTTCAGTCCGCCAGCAGCAATCCACCTCTTCTCTGCTTACTGCAATTGAACCAAGCTATACCCTTCTTCAACGTTTTTTATAGTCGTTAAGAGCACTCCACCACTCTATGACGTCGCATCTGGTCACACTGGAGTGGAGTGGTCCACCAGTTTGAGGTGCACATTGAACTGCACAGCCCGTGTAGGAGCCAACACACCCTACCTACCAACCAGCCAGCTGGGCTGCCACAACCCAACAGCAGGACGAAAGTGTTCGTAAATCACGGACGGGAGCATCCTTCCGTGCCGATAAGGCTTGACAACCGCACAGCATGATTCCGAATCGCGTCCTGCGTTGAGAAGCTTACATTCGTGAAGTAACTTAGTCTGTGACGTAGCAAGCCGCTGCTAGTATCCGTCGCGACATCGCAAGTCACTCAGCAGACGTCACCGTATTGCCTTACGTTCTGAGCCTCGTTTCCTTTCGCTAACCCTGCCCCTAATTTCTGAAATCCAGTAAACTCCCACCACTCAAGCTTCATTCGCTAGCACCTTCCCACTTTCGCTCCAAATTCGTACGTTGCGAACTGTGAGGACTCTAGTCAGTGGAATACTGATCCCCCAATATGGAGCTACTACGGCGCTCCGTTCTCCCCTCATTGTTACATATAGCAATAGTCATGGCATGCTTAGCGTGTCTTGCGTCAGCAGTAACTGAGCTTCCGGAAGCGGACCTCGCGCCGCCGAAGCCGCTGCCGACGCGGTTCGAGCAGGCCATGGCGGAGACCGCCGCGTTGAGCCCCGACGCCAGGGCCAGGCTGCATGCCGCGCGGCTGAGCGAACAGATGTTGCTCGTTCACGACGAGGAAGACGACGACAGCGAACTCGGCGAAGAAAGTGTTAAGGAGAACGGTGAAGAAAGTGGTAACGAGAACGGCGAAGTTCGCCGTCGCAAGTTGGGGCGCGCAGCGAAGAAGCTCGGTTTGAAACCTCCGCTTTTGAATTCGGGACCAAGTATGGCGGATGTTAATAACACGTTCTTCCGGTGGGACTCGGTAACTCCGAACGCGTTTGTGGATTGGCGCCAGACCATGTACATCTCGCCGATACAGCGACAATATCAGGTGCGTGCATTTGTCTGCTTATATCGGGTTTAGGAGGCGTTTCCACCGACATTGTCTCAGTTTCGACCATGATTATTCCACCCCACCACAGCTTAAGCTCGTCTGCTTGTCGTCTCCCCGGCCGCCTCCCTCCTCCCCTCCCTCTCTCTATACTCGTCGCTCCCAAGGCCGACTCGACCCTCCTCCATCCCCCCCCTTCTCCGACCGCGCCGTCTCACCCTTCTCTCACGTCTTCCCCCTTTGTAAAATTGCTCGGCGCGCAGTGCGGGAGCTGCTGGACGATCGTGGCCGTCGATTCCGTCTCGATGATGTGGGCGATCATCAACAACACGACGCCGCAGCTGCTGTCGCCGCAGCAGGTGTGCGACTGCGCGACGAAACAATGCTGCAAGGGCGGCTGGCCGGACTGGGCCTTCTCCTACATCCTCTTTAATGGCGGCATCGCGTCTCTCGACGATTACCCCTACCTCGCAGAGGACAGCGTCGTCTGTAACGCGAACGCGTCGACGCCGCTCGCGGCGAAGATCACGGGGTGGGAGCTCGTCCCGCCGTACAACGCCATGGCGCTTATGAAGGCCGTCAGCATGCAGCCGACCGTCGCGTTTCTGTCCGGCAACGCGAACGATTTCCAGTACTACTCGTCGCGCGGGAAGGTGAAGATCTACGACGGGACGTGCACGACGGATATTAATCACGCGGTGGTGGTGGTCGGGTATAACTACACGGGGCCCGGATTGGACGGCAGCTATTGGATCTTAAAGAACTCGTGGTTCAACACGTGGGGCGACGGCGGTTACATGTACCTCGCGATGACGCCCGACGTGCGCGGGAAATGCGGGCTGCACGCGTAAGTTGCGGTCGATGCGGGAAATGCGGGGCTTGCGCATTCTTTCTCCTTCTTTTTCGCGCGTGCTCTTACCCCACCCTCCCTTCCGCTCATTCCCCCACGTCCCCCTTCCTTCCCCCCTCCTCTCACCCCATTCATCCCTTCCCACTCCCAGCGTTTTAATCTGACACGACTCACAACATTCCTTCCCGATCCCGCTTCCGCTCCCCTTTCCCCTTTCCCGCTCCCCCTCTCCTCCTCTTCCCCCCCCGCTCATCCCCTCCTCCCCCTTCCCCCCCCCAGCATCCGCGCCATGTACGTTACTACGCGGGTCCCGAGACTGTCAAGATCTACTGCCATGGTTTGACGCGCCTCACAACATTGCTTCCCCCATTCCGCTCCCCCAATCCGCTCCCCTCCTCCCCCCCCCAGCATCCCTGCCATGTACCCGGTTTACTATGCAGGTCCCGAGCCCGTCAAGATCGCCAACGGTCCCTACCGCCGCCAGGACGACGGGTACGACGGCAGGTGGTGGGCGCGCGGCTACACCGGCCCCATCGACGCGTGCGCGAATCTCATCAACCCCTGCGGCGGCGGGCGCTGCTACACGCTGCGCGGGATCGCGCGCTGCGACTGCCGCGGGCTGCCGAGCATGGTGGAGGTGCTGTCGACGCCAACTGCCAAGTGCGTGCCGCGCTACCCGTGCACGAGCCGCGAGCTGTTCAACCCGTGCGGGAGCGGCGTGTGCCGGAACCCCGGCGACGGGACATACACCTGCGAGTGCCCTGCGGTAAGTCACGATAATGAGCAACTTTTGCTGAGAAAGACTACCGCAATCGGTCACCTTGGGACTGCCGCGGCCTGCCGAACATGGTGGAGGTGCTGTCGACGCCAACTGCCAAGTGCGTGCCGCGCTACCCCTGCACGAGCCGCGAGCTGTTCAACCCGTGCGGGAGCGGCGTGTGCCGCAATCCCGGCGACGGGACGTACACCTGCGAGTGCCCTGCGGTGAGTGACAATATTTGACGGCTCATAGTGAGCGACTCTTATCGAATGATTCTTTGCAATGGACCTATGTGTTAATGCAGTGCCCTTTGGGTCCCAGGTTCACAGGCTTCAATTGTATCTCGCATCTCCTCCTGCCTCCTTTCGCACATTCTCACCCGCCACCTCTCCCCCCCCTTCCGCACCTTCCCCCGTTCACAGGGCTACGCCATCGGCACGGCATCAGACGGTACAATCACGTGTGTGGGCGTGGGCACGACGGCGGCCGTGGGGCAGACGTACATGACCGTGCCGGGCGACTCGTCATCCCTCACCCGCACCCTCTTCCCCCCTCCACCTCCCCCACCCTTCCCTTCCCCCGTTTACAGGGCTACGCGATTGGCACAGCATCAGATGGCACGATCACCTGTGTGGGCGTGGGCACGACGGCGGCCGTGGGGCAGACATACACGACCGTGCCGGGCGACTCAAAACCTGCACCCCCTGCTCCCTGTCACAGGGCTACGCCATTGGAACAGCATCGGACGGCACGATCACCTGCGTGGGCGTGGGCACGACGGCGGCAGTGGGGCAGACATACACGACCGTGCCGGGCGACTCGTGCACGGTGGTGGCGAGCGCGTATAAGATCTCCGTTATCACTCTCGCTGACCTTAACCCGTTCCTCGACTGCTCGCTCGCATTCATTGCTCCTGGTGAGTGTACCTCCTGAGTCCACTTGAAAGATGACTCTGGGGGTGGGGTGACTCTGGGGGTGGGGTGACTCTCGAGCTGACTTGAAAGGTGACTCTGGAATCGACTCGTGCACGGTGGTGGCGAGCGCGTATAAGAACTCCGTCATCACCCTCGCCGACCTCAACCCGTTCCTCGACTGCTCGCTCGCCTTCATCGCCCCTGGTGAGTGTAACCACTGAGTTGACTCAGAAAGGTATCTCTTGGGTCGACTCAAAAGTCAACCTGTTCCTCGACTGCTCGCTCGCTTTCATCGCCCCTGGTGCGTGTAACTCCTGAGTCGACTTGAAAGGTGACTCTTGGGTTTGGTCAACACATCCTGTTTCTCGACTGCTCGCTCTCCTTCATCGCCCCTGGTGCGTGTGCCTCCCTGCTTTGCATTCCTTCCCCCACCTTCCCCCACCCAGCCCCACTTCCCTTCCCCCCTACTAGTTACTCACTATCTCTGGTATTTGGCTGTGCGTCCCCTCGCCTTGACCCCGTACTTCCTCCTTCCCACACTGCATGTCGGAGACACGTGTCAGAGCCTCTTCATATCCCCCTTCTTCCCCCATCCCGTGCTCATCCCCCTCCCCCTCCCCCTCTCCTCCCCCCCCGACCAGGGCATGGTGCTACTCGTATCCAACACCACCGCCAGCGCCAGTGCCAGTACCTTTGTGTGCACAGCCACATACACGGTGCAGACGGGGGACACGTGTCAGTCCCTCGCCAACACCTATTTTAACGGCGATGTGACCCTCTGCTGCAAACCCGCTCATCTGCTCGCCCCTCTTTTTCATCCTGTCCCCTTCCCCACCAGGCATGGTGCTGCTCGTATCCAATGCCTCCTCCACCGCCAGCGGTAGCGCCTTGGTGTGCACAGCCATGTCAGAGCCTCTTTTTGTCCCCCTTCTTTCCCCATCCCGTTCCTCTCCCCCTCCCCCCCCACCAGGCATGGTGCTACTCGTATCCAATACCTCCTCCACCGCCAGTGCCAGTACCTTTGTCTGCACAGCCACGTACACGGTGCAGACGGGGGACACGTGTCAGACGCTCGCCAACACCTATTTTAACGGCGATGTGACCGCACTCACCGCTGCCAACTCCCTCATCTGCTCGCCTGGCCGCGCCGCGCTGCTGCCGCTGCAGCAGATCTGCATCGCCACTACCTCGCCCACCCCCCAGGTATTTCCCCCACCTTGCCTTCCCCTTCCCAAGGTACTTCCCCTGCTCGACAGGGTCACCCTGTGGGGACGTCTGTGCTGTGCAAGCCGTGTTGCATGTCTTGTGTCGTGGACAGAGATGGACAGTCGCATTTCCCGATCTGATTGGTGGCTAGATAGAGATGACCACGTATTATACCACACGCATTTGCAACCCTACGAAAGCCTCCCCTTTTCCCTCTACCTTTTACCTGCACTGCACGGCTGTGCCTGACTGCACCCAAGTGAACACGTCAGCGTCAGCGAATCTCCAAGCGCGAATCTGATTCACTGTTTGAATCACCCCACCCCCGTTTCCAATCCGGAACAACCACCTTTCAGATAACGGTGCCGCAGTGCGGGCAAACGTACACGTCAGTGGTTGGGGACACGTGCGACGCGATCGCCACCAAATACAACATCGCGCTCAGCACTTTCATGAGGTACACTTTTGCGGGTGCACGACTTTAACACTTTCTTCGTTTTTGCTGTTTCAAGGCAGGTATACGCTTATGCTACCTAACGTTTTCTTGCAATACTCAGGTTTGTCAGCTTGTAAGGCAGCTCGTTATGGTTTAGCATGTCCTCTAGGTGTTTTTTCCAGTTATTTTTCAGGCCATTAAATCCAAACAAGTCGTCGCCTCACCGGGCCTCATATTCCCTCTCTCATCTCGCCCCTCTTCCTTGCTCTCCCCATCAGCCTCAACCCCGCGCTTTCCTGCGACTCTAACCTCAAGATCGGACTCTACCTCTGTGTTGCACCCAAGACCCCTCTGGTAAACACCCAAGACCCTTCTGGTAAACACCCTTTGTACTTTGTATTTAAGGTGACTTTTGAGTCGACTCGAAAGTCACTCCACCTCTGCGTTGCACCCAAGACCTCTCTGGTAAACACCCTTTTTTCACTTCGTTTTTTGAGAGCTCGCATACAGTGAACTGCACGGCAGGGTACACGGTGCTACAGTCTCCTTATCTCCCTCCCCCTTTCCTCTTTCTTGCTGCACTCTGTCTCTATCCCCCTCAGACCACAGTCAACTGCACAGCATGGTACACAGTGCTGCAGGGTGACAACTGCCCCAACATCTGGAACGCAGCCAACCTCACAGAACCCCTTTTCCTCGCCATCAACCCCGGCATCAGGGTAAGCCTCACTGCATGACTCTCCTGGAACAAATATAACATCCTGTTTCTAGCGTCTTAGTCTTAGATACCAGCCTCCTTCCATTCCCCGAGCCTCCTTCATTCCTCCAACCTGCCTCTCCATCCCCAAGCATTCTTCTTACCATCAACCTAGGCCATCCCCCGCCTCACCTCTCCTTCCCTCTCCGTCCCTCTCCCCTCCCTCACCCCACCAGTGCCAAGCCCCGAACCTGCAAGTGGGCCAGAAGGTCTGCATTTAGTCCCCTACTTTCTCACTCAACCCCTCCCTCTCTTTCCTTCTCTCTCCCCTCCCTCACCCCACCAGTGCCAAGCCCCCTACCTGCAAGTCGGTCAGAAGGTCTGCATCAAGTCGCCGCTGCTCGCAACCCTCATGGTTCAAACCAACACCAGCTACTCCATCTACACCATCCAGGAAGGCGACACCCTCGCTCTCATCTCCTCAAAATTCGTCACCCGCTGCACGACGGTCTCTGTCTCTCCTGTCAACATCGCCGCGAAAAACAACATTCTCGAAACCGACCCTCTCGTGGTCAACACGACGCTCATCATTCCCTGCGACTCCCGCGTCGGGATTCTCGACTGCGGGTGCGCCGAGTCTCTCCCCGTGTGCGGCGCCGATTTCGTCACGTACCCGTCATACTGCGACGCGGTTTGCAACTACGCCATGCCGGTGGTGCAAGACGGGGTGTGCACGGGGTGCAACGCCGCGTGCACGAATCGCGCGGGGGTCGCACCACTCGCCGGATACGGATGCACCTGGACGACGTGTCCGTACCCAGCCTGGAAGCCTCTCGACGCGGATTGCTCTCAGATGGTTGGCGAGGAGGTCGGCAAGTGCTGCGCTTTTGTCACGACGACATGCGAGAATGTGTGCACTGCTACGAAGCTCACGCTGGGCGGGACGACGGCCACGCAGACAGCGAATTACAACCTGTGTTACAACAACTGCTTTTGCTGTGCGCGGTTACCCTGTGGCAGCGGAGTTGCCTGCCAGACCGGAAGCAGCTGTTGGTCGCAGAGCCCCAGGAGGTGTACTTATTCGAATTATAAGTACTGGTGGAACTGTACTTACTTTGGGGGTGATTCTCCGTTACCGTAATTGGATTGGAATTTGTTCAGCCGGTGCTAGGGCCCTGGTACAGGTGTGGTTTCTCTGGAGTAGCCCTAATTAACTCTTCCCATGGCCCCTTGCTCGTTGCGCTGCGCTCAGTTTCCCAGCTTAATTGGTGAGGCGTTTCTGATTATCTCGAGACGGTAGCACTTTGCTCTGTTTTGCCTAGTAGTGGTTTGATGGCTACTACCATAATTGTTAATTATTGTGCTCTTGGTTCTTGTAACATGCATTAGATGTACGCGGCAACATTCAGCAGCAGTCCCACTTGGAATATGGACCGTACCAACAAAGGCCATGTGCAAGAATGCAATGCAACCAGTAGTTAGAGCATCTGAAGTGCAATAAAAGGTACCGTATGAATGTTGGGAAGATGCAAAGGTGCGTAGGTTTGGCTCATGATATATCAACCGGTATGGTAGCGTTCATGCTATGGAAATGCCCCACGAGATATGGGGCGTAAAATATCACAGGCCATTTGAAAACGCTGTGTGACTCTCAGATTATGAAGAAGTTTGAAAATATGTAGTTTTGTAAGTTCTCCCAATTGTAGGTATTGAAATGTACGCTCGGCTACGCTTGTAATTACGGTTCCGAAAATCATTTATTTCTAACGGCACTCCTTTTGTCGCATCCCAAACCAAGCCACGTCACAAACGCCCTGACCGAGTGTTGAACACCCCTGGTCCCCACCCTCACAGCTGGATCTTTGGCAGCTTGGGGCACTCCAGCTGTGTGGTTGGTTGTTGGCGTTAGATCCGACAGATGTCTGACCTCGCAACCTGGGTTATCAGTTCCCCTTTTTTTCAGGGTATCCTGACTCCTTGTACTCAAGATAGATAGCTCTCCTCATATTATATTGATTTCTCTCTCCGGGCTTTACATCTATGCGGCTGGAATGACAGCATCGTGATGGAATGCTGACATAAACAACGAGGCCGACTTCACGCGTTCTGTTGTGTTGATCAAGACATGTACACAGCAGTGTTTTAAGGGCTACATGTAGTGATACCCCAAATCCGGGTCCCACGGCCAGACCACACGACTGATGGTGTCACTCACGTCGACCTTGTGAACAGTCCTGTCCGCTTATTATGTCGGATTCGAAAGGGATGTGAGCAGCAAGCAGCCTGAGGGTTCATCGTCCGTCCCTTGCGAAAACATAGCCTGTCGATGTCGTGGCGGGGACTGGAACACGGCACAGAACAGACCCGCAGGCAACCGACATTTCTGCCCCATCTCAAACGAGGAAAGGCGGGGAGGGGGGAGGGGCGGGGGGTGGTGCGGGCGGGAGGGGGGCAACCACCATCAGGCATTCCCTCAGGCTTTCAAGCCCAATAATATCGCACCAACCCCGCCAACAACTCAGCCAACCAGCCAACCACAGAGAGGGCAACCGCCTTCACCATACAGTACAGTACCATCCCCCATCCCATCCAAGCCCTTTTTGCCCATTGTTTGAATCAAATGAATCCCCTCCCCCCAACCCCCCGCCAGGCTGGGAAAGAATTGCACAGTACTTTTTGGAGGTGGGGAGGGGACATTTTCATCATGAAGGCGTTTTGTGTGGTTTAAAAGCTTCGAGTACGTTTCCCAGATTTTGAGTACGTTGTATGCAACAAACTCGCAAAACTTGAATTGGGTTCGGGTGGGGGGGGACAAGGCATTTGGCAGTGAGTCAACGCATCGGACCAGCCAGTCCAACAACCTAACCTGAGGCCAGGTGACGCTTTGTTCCTCAACCATTCCCATAGGTTCTTCTTGTCGGCTATTTTATCCACGTCGTCATTTTCAGGCCGTACTTCTCATATTACGCACTTCACTTAGGTTAGTCTGTTTATTCATAGGAGTCCTGTGTACTTCTATCACATCCCTGGGCCTCACTCCATAGTGCACTTTCCAGCCGTCACTTCTAAACTCCTCATTCCCGATGGCTCGTCTGACGAGTCAGCGGTACATAGCAGTGTCGGTACTACTTCTCGCAATCACCGTATGCAGCGCCGCTCTCGCCGCGACGGAGCCCGCCGAGGTTCTGACGCAATTCGAAATCGCGATGATGGAAACCCTTTCGATGTCTGACGAGGAGCGCATGCAGCTTAACGCAGCGCGACTTAGCCGAGCAATGCTCCGCCAAAACGACGATGACGTCGACGAAAATGACGACGACGATGCGAATGACGTCGCCGGGGAGTCGCATTCGCGGCGTCGCGAGCTGAAAGACGGCAAGGGGAAGCAGCTCGGTCTCAACCCGCCGCCTCTTAACTCGGGTCCGAGCATGGCGGACGTCAATGGGACGTTCTTCCGTTACGATTCCGTCGTTCCCAATGCCACCGTTGACTGGCGACTGACGAAATACATTTCGCCAATCCAGCGCCAGTTCCAGGTGCGATTTGTACAAGGCAGGCTTATTATTTTGGCGCTTGGATTCGTGAAATCTCCGTTTACGAAACATTTGCTTTTCCCTCGTTCTCTCCGCTTCATACCCGTTTTACCCCCGTACCACCCATTGGCAATGTTGATACGCGTCAAAACGTGCAACGCGTCAATCCCGCTCCATGGTAGTGCTCCCTTTTAATGACCCATTTCACGCCCTCTTTCCATCCTCGCGTTTCCTTTTTTCAGTGCGCTAGCTGCTGGGTGATCGCAGCCGTCGATTCCATCGCCATGATGTGGGCGATCACGACCAGGAACACTCCCGCAGTGCTGTCGCCGCAGCAGGTGTGCGACTGCGCGACGAAGCAGTGCTGCCAGGGCGGCTGGCCTGACTGGGCCTTCTCATACGTGCTCTTCAACGGCGGGATTCAGTCCGTCGACGACTACAGCTATATCGCGCAGGATAATCAGATGTGCAGCCTCAACGCGTCGATTCCTTCTGCTGCTCAGGTGCGCGACGTCTTTGTCGTCATTAGCTTCGCAAGGTTTCCGATGGATCGACTATCCGTGTATTTGTCGATTCTCCGACCTGCTTCTGAAACTCTCAGTGTTTGTCTTTCTCATATTCACCGCAAATCTTTCCCCTTCCTCTACGCTGGTCGCAGATTACCGGCTGGGAGCTTGTGCCGCCTTACAACGCCATGGCTTTAATGAAGGCCGTCAGCATGCAGCCCGTGGTCGCCTTCCTTAGCGGCTCGTCCAAGGATTTCCAGGTGATTAGATTCTGTGGCTTTCCTTCTATATTCTGCAATAACCCTTCTTCTCTTGTAAATATGTGTAGATTTATTTCGGTTTCTGGTTACGGTTACTGATATCTTCAGTTTATATGCGTCGCTGCTTCGCAGATGTACACCTCGCGTGACATGGTGAAGATCTACGACGGGCTGTGCACGACGGATATCAATCATGCGGTTGTCGTCGTTGGTTTCAACTACACGGGCAGCACCAACGGCAGCTATTGGATCATCAAGAACTCGTGGTTCGAAACGTGGGGCGACGACGGTTACATGTATCTCGCCATGTCGCCAGACATTCGCGGAAAATGCGGGATTCACGCGTAAGCGACCATACTATCTTCATGCTTTTTTTGCAGTCTAGATACTTGATTGCAATAAAACATTCCGTCCATCGATTAACGCATTTTACTGTTTCCATGTTACTGTTCCCCCTCCAGAATTCCGGCCATGTACCCGGTGTACTACCCGTTCGGTCCTCAGCCCGTGAAGATTTCCAACGGTCCGGTCAGTCGAAAAGACGACGGCGATGACGGAAAGTGGTGGAACAAGGGTTACACCATCAACTCCGACGCATGCCAGAAACTCATCAACCCATGCGGACGCGGCACCTGTTACACCAAGAACGGAATCGCACGCTGCGACTGCAGCGGGTTGACGAACTTTGTTGAAGTCTTGGGAGTGCCGACGGCGAAATGTGTGCCTCGGTTTCCGTGCAACAAGACAAACATCAACCCTTGCGGCGCTGGCACCTGCAGCAACCCTGGCGACGGCTCCTACGCCTGCTCTTGCCCTGTCGTACGTTCCCTTACGTTCCTGCTTCTAGATCTCTCAGTAGTTGTGTCGTGCCTTGTCCTGCACTCTTACCATTGTGTCGTGTTATTGACCCTCTCTCTCCTCAAATTGACATGTCTTCCTCGTCTTCGTCTATTCCTCTTCTTCCCCTCCCTTCCTCTTCACCTTCCCCTTCCTCTTCCCCCTCCTCTCTTCCTCACCTCCTCTCTCTATCAGGGATCTGCAATCGGAGCAGCATCTGACGGCTCGCAGACGTTCGTGGGAGTTGCCTCACAAGTTGACCACTGGATCGACTCAGAAGTCACATCGTCCCCTTCCTCCTCTCCTCCTCTCAACCTCTTCCTCGCAGGGCTATGCCATTGGAGCCGCATCCGACGGCACACAGACGTGCGTGGGAGTGGCCACCACGTCAACTTCTTCTATCACATACACCACTGTTCCTGGCGACTCGTGCTCTGTAAGTTGTACGAGCAAGACACTTCTAGGTGATTTTTTACCATCCGGTCCCCACGCATGTGTCAACTTCTGTCCCTCCTGTTCGTTTCTGAACGTGTTCGTTCCATGTTGCACTGTTTTCTCCTTCGTCTCGGTTCTTCCCCGCGCGTTTCCTCAGGTTGTGGCTGGAGCGTTTGGCATCAGCACCACCACCCTCGCTGCATTGAACCCCTTCCTCAACTGCTCGCTCATGTACATCCCTCCTGGTAAGTCCTGTGCACATGCTGTGTTCCGGCCCCTGCCCTGCTCTGCACACCAGTCCTCATTCCTACCTGCCTACCCTCCTCTCCCTCCCCCCTCCTTTGTCTCCCCCTCTCATCCATCCAGGATTCGCTATTACCGTCTCCAATGCAAGCACATCCTCCTCACCCATCTGCACCGCAACCTACATCGTCAGTCCCACCGACAACTGCACCTCCCTCGCCAACACTTTTTTCGCGGGCAGCTTGTCGAACCTTCAGAAGGCCAACCCTCTCGTGTGCACGTCCAGCCGCCCGGTGTACCCGTCCCAGACGATCTGCACGAGTGTAACGACTGCGGTTACCAGCGTGCCGGTGCCGCAGTGTGGGCAGACGTACTCCTCTGTGGCGGGCGATACTTGCTCGTCTGTTGCGACCAAGTTCCTCATTTCCCTCACCAACTTCACTGGGTGAGCCCCCCCCCCCCCCCCCCCCCCCCCCCCCTTCTCTTTTGTCCTGCATTCCCCCTCCTTTCCCCCTTCCCCCACCCGTTTCCTCTTTAACATTCCTCATAATATGTCTCATTTATATTGCTAGAATTGTCAGATTATGCTTGCAGCAGCATCATCTCTTCTCCCTGTATTCGGAACTTTATCTTTTGCTTCTTTTGCTTCTAATACACAGGTTGAACCCTGGACTGTCGTGTTCCGGTTCGCTTCCCATTGGCTCCTACCTTTGCGTGGCTCCTAAAACTGCTCTGGTGAGTTGCAGTTGCAGTTGCGGTTGCAGTTGCTTCCCATTACCTGGAAATCTGCGTCAGCATGTGGTCACTCAGTTGGTCTGTCTCTCGACCTGTCTTTCTCTGCAGCCAATTCTCTTGTTTCGCCACCGCCTTCGCTCTTTCTCGCGCCGTCTCCCCCATCAACCTCTGTACCCATCACAGGGACTCATCGTGAGCACGCACACATGTTGCTGCAGGCCGCTTACCTCCCCCTTCTTTCTCCCTCGCCCTCCTCCCTCCCTCCCGCAGACCACAGTCAACTGCACCACATGGTACACGGTGCTGCAGGGGGACAACTGCCCCAACATCTGGAACGCAGCCAACCTCACAGAGCAGACCTTCCTTGCCATCAACCCCGGCATCCGGGTAAGCCCAGAAGTTACCTTACCCCTTCTCAGCATGTATTAGGATACGCCCCTGGGTATTAGGATACCCCCCTGAACCAGGAACTATCAGACGTCCTCCTCGGCATCATCTTTGTTAGTCAATGCACCGTTGCATCAGTCAGCACTACTCAGCATTACACACCCTGTACTATCATATCAATCTCACCTGTCGCTCTCTCTCTCTCTCCTCATCCATCCTCCATCGCATTCTCCCTCCTCCCTCACCCCACCAGTGCCAAGCCCCGTACCTGCAAGTGGGTCAGAAGGTCTGCATCAGTGCGCCCGTACTCGCCACGCCTGTTGCCGCCTCCAACACAAGCTTCTCTATCTACAAAGTCAAGGACGGCGACACGCTCGCTCTTATCTCCGCCAATTTCATCAACCGCTGCATCCCTGCCTCCGTCTCCCCCGCTGCAATCGCCGCCGAAAACAACATCCTAGAAACATCGATTCTCGTTACGGGCACCAACCTGATCATCCCGTGCGATTCCCGCGTGGGGATTATCGACTGTCAGTGCGCCGCGTCACTCCCGGTCTGCGGAGCCGACTACGTGACCTACCCCTCGTATTGCGATGCGGTTTGCAACTACGCCGTGCCGCTGGCCCAGAATGATGTCTGCGCCGGCTGCAACGCCGCTTGCTTCGGCCGAACCGGGCTCGCGCCGCTCACTGGGTATGGGTGCACGTGGTCGATTTGCCCGTACCCCAACTGGAAGCCGTTGGACACGGATTGCTCGCAAATGCTTGGCGACGCCGCGGGCAAATGCTGCAATTTCCAAATGACGACGTGTCAGAACTCGTGCACGGATGTGAAGAACTCGCTTGGAGGGACGTCCACGCAGCAGACGACGAATTACAACAAATGCTACTCGCAGTGCATGTGCTGCTCGAGGCTTCCCTGTGGTACGGCGGCGTGTGCGGCTCCCAGCTCATGCTGGAATGATTCCCCTCGCAAGTGTACTTTTGCCAACATGGCGTATACTTGGAACTGTACGTGGTTCCCTCCAGCTTCACCGCTTCCTTAGAAGGTGGTTTCGCGGTCATGAGGCAGGTTCCTGTCTTGCTTGAAGGCAACGAAAAGCCAGGTTTCTCTGCCTTGCTGCACGTGGATTCTTCAGCGGGTTTCAACCATTTTATTTATTTATTTGCTGCTAGCTAGTTTATTTCGTTTCAATGTCTGTAAACACCCTCTCAATCTATGAGAATGTGCCTAGAATTTTTTTAATTCTAGTAAGTTGTGACATAAAAGGACAACACTTTCAACAAACAACTTAATTTTTCTAAGTGTTAAAAACGGGCAGATTCTCTCGTAACGTGACTATTTTGATATGAAGCTGTTCTGAATGTCTATTGTAAATCTCCGAAATCCCGTCAGAAAATCGACGGTGCAAAGTCGCCGCAGGCGAACCGCATCAGAGAACTCTTTCTCGACTAGCATCAACTCCCGCTCAAATTCAGTGGCTGTCTCGCGCCGCGGCTGTCGCTTTCCTAAGTTCCTGCTCTCGACGCATTGCATATATGGATCCCCAGACGGGGAACGTGCATTTCGTGGCGACGTAGACAGGCGCACGCGAAATAGACAGCCGCCATCTGTTTTTCACTTTTTGCCCGACAAAAAAAGACAGGACGCAGACTGGCGAAAAAAAGGCGTTCATGTAGTTATAAATATATGATTCACGAAATTTCGCCAACATTTCGTGCAACATGAACAGTGCCAATCGCGACCGTCGCCAGAAGGGGGTCGCGCAGAGTGGTCTTTTGTAACAACCCGAACAGTCAAATTTCTATACTTTGCAAGCTTACAGACTCATTTCATTCAGATTTTGTTCACAGACATGCAAATTTGAAAGCCCCAGAATTGGCTAAGTGTTGGTAAAATTCAAAGTTGGTTGTTTTTTTCCATATGGCGATAGATTTACATATCCTTTACACACCTAAAACAAAAATAACGGCAAAAAACACATTCAAGGGTGTCTTTCTGGGGCAAATTCCTTTCTTATGGGGTAGATTAGAATGCTCATATCCACTTGGATAGTGGTCCAAATCAGTTGTTTAATAGCTCAATCTTCATCCCTTGACATCCTCTACTAGATAGGACCTTAAAGTTCTTTTGTGTAAAAATCATCAAAACCAACCTTTCAAGCCATACCAATGAAGCTCCTAGCACATAACAACTCATTCTCTGGCTGTCTCTGACAGTTGTAATTTTCAAACACGTTTATTTGGGGGTGGGAAGTTTGTGCTACTGTTATCACCTACTATGCTGCCTGTCTGCCTTATCAGTGGTTGGTTGCTTCAGATCCCTGCATCATTTTTCGTCAACATTGCCTACAAATGCATAAAGCTTTGCAAACCTTTGTTATGTGGTCTAAATGATCTCATTTTCTGAGGGGGGTATCATCCCAACATTGGAAGGTTCTCTACCAAATTTCAGAGCAATCCACAAACCATAGATAGGTTGTTGACGCTTGTTTCTGCAGAAATGCCTGCATTTGGATTTTGATGCAAAACGCCAACCAAACCATGGAATTAGGGTCTAAAAATGGGTGGGGAGCATCATCACATTAATTCTAGATCCCCCTCCCATTTTCAAGTCATTCCAATAATGTTTGATAGGCAATTCATGCTTTGTTCTAAAAGATAAGCCTGAATTTTCTGCAGAACTGCCTGCATTTGAATTCTGATGCAAAACACCAACCAAACGATGGAATTAGTGTCTGAAACTGGGTGGGGAGCATCATCACATTAATTCTATATCCCCCTCCCATTTTCAAGTCATTCCAATAAGGTTTGATAGGCAATTCATGCTTTGTTCTAAAAGATAAGCCTGAATTTGCTGCAGAAATGCCTGCATTTGGATTCTGATGCAAAACACCAACCAAACCATGGAATTAGGGTCTCAAAATGGGTGGAGAGCATCTTCACATTAATTATAGATCCCCCTCCCATTTTCAAGTCATTCCAATAAGGTTTGATAGGCAATTCATGCTTTTTTCTAAAAGATAAGCCTGAATTTGCAGCAGAAATGCCTGCATTTGGATTCTGATGCAAAACACCAACCAAACAATGGAATTAGGGTCTCAAACTGGGTGGGGAGCATTATCACATTAATTCTAGATCCCCCTCCCATTTTCAAGTCATTCCAATAAGGTTTGATAGGCCATTCATGCTTTGTTCTAAAAGATAAGCCTGAATTTTATGCAGAATTGCCTGCATTTGGATTCTGATGCAAAACACCAACCAAACCATGGAATTAGGGTCTCAAATTGGGTCTGGAGCATCATCACATTAATTCTAGATCCCCCTCCCATTTTCAAGTCATTCCAATAAGGTTTGATAGGCAATTCATGCTTTGTTCTAAAAGATAGGCCTGAATTTTATGCATAACCGCCTGCATTTGGGTTCTGATGCCAAACACCCATCAAACGTTGGAATTAGTGTGTGAAACTGGGTGTGGATCCTCCTTACACTGATTCTAGATCCCCCTCTCAATTTCAGGTCAATCCATTTTTTTGCGGCAGGCCTTTCATGCTTTGTTCAGACAGATAGGCCTGAATTTTCTGCATAACTGCCTGCATTTGGATTCTGATGCCAAACACCTACCAAACGTTGGAATTAGTGTGTGAAACTGGGTGGGGATCCTCCTTACACTGATTCTAGATCCCCCTCTCAGTTTCAGGTCAATCCATTTTTTTTTACAGGCCTTTCATGCTTTGTTCTAAAAGATAAGCCTGAATTTTCTGCATAACTGCCTGCATTTGGATTCTGATGCCAAACACCCACCAAACGTTGGAATTAGAGTGTGAAACTGAGTGGGGATCCTCGTTACACTGATTCTAGATCCCCCTCTCAGTTTCAGGTCAATCCAATTTTTTTTGATAGGCCTTTCATGCTTTGTTCTAAAAGATAAGCCTGAATTTTCTGCAGAACTGCCTGCATTTGGATTCTGATGCAAAACACCCATCAAACGTTGGAATTAGTGTGTGAAACTGGGTGGGGATCCTCCTTACACTGATTCTAGATCCCCCTCTCAATTTTAGGTCAATCCAATTTTTTTTTGACAGGCCTTTCATGCTTTGTTCTGACAGATAGGCCTGAATTTTCTGCATAACTGCCTGCATTTGGATTCTGATGCCAAACACCCACCAAACGTTGGAATTAGTGTGTGAAACTGGGTGGGGATCCTCCTTACACTGATTCTAGATCCCCCTCTCAGTTTCAGGTCAATCCAATTTTTTTTGACAGGCCTTTCATGCTTTGTTCTAAAAGATAAGCCTGAATTTTCTGCATAACTGCCTGCATTTGGATTCTGATGCCAAACACCCACCAAACGTTGGAATTAGAGTGTGAAACTGAGTGGGGATCCTCCTTACACTGATTCTAGATCCCCCTCTCAGTTTCAGGTCAATCCAATTTTTTTTTTTTTAGGCCTTTCATGCTTTGTTCTAAAAGATAAGCCTCAAATTTCTGCAGAACTGCCTGCATTTGCACTATGATGCAAAACGCGAACCAAACGCAGGAATTAGTGTGTGAAACAGAGTGGGGATACTCAAATGTTGCGCATTTCAAGACGTTGATGTCCGCTGGGGGCTACGGCTACATATATGTGGTGCTTAGCCAAATTCTCATGTAGAGACACAAATATAGTACAACAAAACAAAACACTGTACATCACAAGATTTCAGGGCGCATCCTTGAGGTCTGGCACGAGGTGTAGATTCGCTATAGCGCGGACTCTGCGTCGTGCAGATAAGATTGGCGCAGAGACCTTCTCAGCCAGAGTTGGTGTCAGATTCTATCTGCGCAGAAAGTTCCGAACGGGATCGCAGAGATCTGGGTATCCTATTCGCCACTAAATACTTTTGCGGGCAGCCCTGACAAAACGTCTGGCGAGTATCACCTGACGCGCGAAAAAAAAGGATGTGCGGTGCAGAAGACCGCGACACCATCCGCTGCGTAGATAAGGCCTTAGTCTGACGGCGCCACGTGTCAGGTTTGGCAGAACATCTGCGACATCCGAGGCACGTGATTCACGGTCGCAGATGTGGAGCAGATTCCCCAACACCTGAACACTACCCTTCGCGGGAAACAACAATTCTTGTTTACATTGAGTGTACTTATGCAAATCGTCCCCTATACGGCAAGTTTCAACCCCCACCGCTAAACAATGCAAGACAACAAAAGCTGCGAACAGCAACATAAGGTGCCATCCTGCGCTGGTGAACGCGACCCATTCGTATTTGCACCACGAGCATGAAACTCTGCTCCACCCCGCACAATCCAATCCATTTCAGCTTCCAACCCCATCGACCAACTTCATTCTGCCAGTTTAGGCTTCCATTATTGATTCTACAACGCCCGCCAGCAGATATCCTCCCAGAGATCCTCCACGAGGTTTCACAGAGTAGGTCCGAGTGCCTCAGGAGCCATAGGAAGCGTCCGTGCTCAGAGGCCCGGAGCAACACTCTATTCTGACGGACGCGATGATCATCTGTTGTCCCGGCCTCACCAAACTAAACAACCACACTCTACAGTCTCTGAGGAAAACAATCTTATTTGTCTGCAACTTAGAACCCAATTGTAATTGGAACCGCGTAGAGTAGCCGTGAGTTCGATGCAACCTCAGAAAAGATCCCGCGGACTACACGTGACCTGTTACTAAACCCAACCATCTTTACATCTAAGATGTGTTTACGTGTCCGTGGCCTAGTGGGCGATCTCCATAAGTCCGCTGTACGAAAGTGGAATCACGTCTTTCGGTGGTGTTGAACAGTTAGCCTCTGAACCGGAGTGAAGAGTACGAGCCCGTATGAACTTGCGGGGAAGCTACAGACTATCTACACCTGCACTTCTGAACAATGCTCTTATTGGAGGCGTTGGAAGTGGTCTCGCCGTCTAAGCAAGGAACCAATCACAACTATTCGTACCATAATCAATGAGTTGAGGGAAACCACGTAGAGTTGTTGTGAGTGGGAAGCCACCTCGCCCGGAAATCTCTGTATTTCCCAGGTCGGTTTCTCGGCCG